CCCTATAGAGCCGAAGCTTGGATTTGGTAGTGCAGAATTTATTTTTCTTTGAGAGCTATAGTGATGATTCTAAATTCGGTACTGACAAATATTTTTAGTGTTTGTTCGATGGTGTTGTATTTTTTTAAAAATATTACAGTTCTGTAACGCAAACATTTTTTATGCGCTCTAGGAATAAAAATACTACAACTACGAACGTGATATTCGGTATATTGGGACTAAAACATGATTCGGCACTATATAAATCGGTGCTATGGCTGATTCTCTCTCAAATGCACTAAAATTAATTTTCACTTCTCTACCAAACGCATAGTATACAAACTGAGAAAATATATATATACTCACCTTGTCAGCAACATCGATAATTTGGAACTGTAAACAAGCGATTAAAAAATAATTGACTTAATTATAATATTAATATAAATAATTATGAAACTAAACTGTAGGCATGATAGTAAAAGTTTGAATAGCCCTATTTTAATTTTTGTTTGCGGTACCATAGTAATTTGGAGTATTTTTCTCAAATCTAATCAAATCAATTTATTACCATCAACATTAAATACATGTATAGCAACGTAATACAGTTTTCATCACAATATTTTCATTAACCTACTTGATATGTTCTACAAATCATTTGTAGGGAACTCTCTAATATTATTTTTAGCATACAAGATATTAACTTCCCTTAACTATATCTATATTATAGGGATAAATTGGGCCAAAATAAGATTTTATCAAATATATAAATGTAGCAAGTCAATGTTAAGATGTGACAGTGAATTTCAAATTTCCCGCTAGATAAGTACATCTAAGATCTGTCGTAGAGTCCGTCAGGCGCCACCGTCAGATAGATAACCCCCGCCATAACCTTTAGAGTGGAAGGAGCTCTAGGAAGTGATCACAGGACATTCAGTGCCGTACATACACATACACAAATGTTTACACGAAAAATTTAATATCTAGGCCAGCCTACACAAACTACTTCGCACCGACCGGTACACTGACTGACTGACTGATAAAAGTTAGCCGATACCCTGGAGACGTTGACCTTGGCCTCGGGGGAGGGGGAAAATCAGACAGAGGAGATCTTGGAGATCAAACAGAATGATTCCATGAATTTTTTTGGATCTGACGTTATTAAAAGACAATAGCAGCTTCAAATACAAAATATATTGGAAACCGACGGCCACTGATCACACGATACAAGCCACGTCAAACCATCCCCATTCCAACAAAATGGCTGCCTACAATAGTTTTGTAAACTGGCTATCGAAGGTTCCTTTAACAAAATAAACGGTATCAGCATTCTGACACATACTTTCTTCCATAAGTTTGTCAACAACCTTTATCATGTGTAAGCGGTGAGAGTAAATTTACGAAAATGGGATTTGTACAATTTTGTTCAGTATTCAAAGGACATACAAAAATTTTATCAAAATCGTTCGCCATTTTTGGAAAAACCCGATTTTTCCGTTATTTTATGGGGTTTTTAGGGGAAAATAACATAATTTACAATAACTTTTGAACCGTAATTTTTACCGAAATGGGATTTGTACCATTTTGTTCCGAATATAAAGGACTATCACATACTAAGTTTTCATCAAAATCGTTCTGGCCATTTTTGGGAAAATCCTATTTTTCATTATTTTATAGGGTTTTAATAGGAAAATAACATAATTTACAATAACTTTTGAATCGTAATTTTTACAGAAATGGGATTTGTACCATTTTGTTCAGAATTTAAAGGGCTACAACATACTAAATTTGTATTAAAATCGTTCGGGCCATTTTTAGAAAATCCGGGTTTTCCGGTTTTTTCATCGGTTTTTATGGGAAAATCCCCATTTAAAATCAAAATTTAAAAAAAATAAAAAACGCCTGGAGATACCATGGATTAGATCCTACATACCAAATTTCATCAAAATCTCACTATAGGTGTTGTCCCTAGCTCTGTACACATCCAGACACACGCACACACACACACACACAGATATCACTTCGAAAACCACTTTTTTGGTCCAGGGGGACCCAAATCGAATATATCCACTCAAAACTCAAACTGGAAAATTTTGACGAAAACAATACTTTCTCCATATACAACAATATACAATACTTTCTCCGTATAGGGGGAGAAAGTAAAAATAATTACAAGAATGAATATTTAATCCTAAAACATTTGCAGTTAAAAATGGTTATCCTAGCACCATCATAGATACAATACCCAGTAAACAGAATTCCAGAACCATTAAACAAACAATTGATAGGCAAATTGTGTGATAACAAGTTCGTATCTATTGAGTACGGCCGTGGATAACATGTCATGTTACGCGTAATATTCCGCGTGGGGTGTATCTCGCGTAGTGATATCACCGTACCTTTGAGCGTATCTGTCCGAATAGGCGTTTAGTCGTAAGTTTGAGCTATTTTCCTCTGTGTTTTGTTTTAGAAGTGCGGTGGTCTATTGGATACTTTGTTCGTTTTAATCCGCGTAAGGCACATATCTCACATGTCGATAATATATCCATGTCAATTAAACCCTCTTTAGATTAATTCACGTATCGAGTCGTAAGGGGCAATTGCCTCGTACGATGTAATTTGTAAATATGATTGTATAGAATATCGGGAAGGGCATCTGTCTCATTACCCGTGACTTCCAGTTTATCGTTCATTCTGCAAAGGTAACAATTCATCATGCATATGTCAACTTGAAATATCACGTGAATTAAAGTGCTACGATTCGTCCATGATGTTTGAAGTGCGAATGTGTAAAATTCGGCGCGAGAAAGGTGCACATTTTAATAACCTGTAAAACGTTGTAATTAAGTCCCGTTAAACATTTCAATGCATGTATTGCCACAGGAGTAATGGTCATGTAATAAATATCGATTGATTACTAGATGTGGTTTGGGAGTTATGACATTGTTCAGCCAGTACGTCTTAAACAGTGTTGTACACATAAAGAAAAACTTAAATAATTTTAGCTCAAGGGGTGACCTTCATAGTTGCAATACTCGTAACCGTAGCCAACTTGACCTTCCATCCCATCGGCTCTGTAAGACTGCAAACAGTTTCCCCACTATGGCCATAAAGCTGTATAATAGTCTCAGTGTTGAGATCAGAGGCCGCCAGTGAAAGCGTTCGTAGCGCACATGTCTAGGGAGTTGAAGACTAGGCCCCTTTACTCTATCAGGAAATTTTTTGAAACCCCTGACTCAGTTTGGACATCATGATCCACCGCCTTGTATATAGTGTATATAGACAAAGTTTTAAAGTTTTAATTTTTTCATTTAACGCAATCTATTCAGCTATGGCTGGGCAACGATGAAGAACCGGTAAAGGTAAAGGTAAAGGTAAAGGGAAAAGGTAAAGGTAAAGGTAAAGGAAAAGGTAAAGGTTAATATTAACATCACCTCATATTTCCTTGTCACCAGACAAAATTTAGTATTACTGTAAAGGTCAAACCTTCTCTGAGGGTTTAACCGATTTAAATATAATATATTTTTTAATGTGGGAATAATTAACTAATTAATAAACTATACTCTATATACCGCGGTTACAAGGTTGTAAAGAGTTTTCTATGTGATAATTTCATATTAGTAAACCTTTAATTCAAATCCCACTAATGCAGACTATATTTTTTAGATCGTTTTTTCATCAGATACGGTACATTTTTATAGATTTGTTTGCGCAATAACGTCTATAGACAAGAACCATTATTTTTTACTTATGTTTTCATGTAAAATAGCTTAAAGGCGTCACATGGAACTTACAGATAAATTAGATTGATGTATTTTAATACCATAGGAAAAGTAATACAGATTTATTCAATAATTACTATAATATAAGTTGTGGTAAACTAACTTTGTTTCAGCGTAGAGGGGGTTCTACTAGTATCCAGTATATCAGATTGTTCTTGAAGGGGATTTGGTTGCTTTCTTGATTTACTTTTCTGGAAGGAGGTTTTCTTTTAGGCTAGACATAAGGGTTGTGGCATTATCTATTAGATAAAACCCATTGGTGATCTGGTGGGATTTAAACTCCGGACCTCAGGGACCAAAGGTCTGGCTCTACCACTAGAACGACTCGCTCCCCCGAGATGGATTCCTCATAGATAGTGGAAGGATGTTAAAATGTACAGCTAATTTATACTATGGGTTAAATTCTGCGTTCCCCTAGATACAGGTATGATCGAGTTTGATGCAGTCTGTTATGTAAAGTGTAGGTCTGGCTCGGTGTGATGCTATTATTGTATAAGGAATTGAATGTTTTGCGAATATGGAGTGATACTACGGTCAGCATTTTTGTTCCAAAAACAGTAGTCGTCTTATCGCGCTCAGTCAACTAGGGAACTATTTGTTGGATAAGAACGCGTTTAATTTGATTGCGATGGTTTCCCACCTTTAGACCCTTTCTAAACAGTTATTACTATTGGAATACATATGCTGCATAAGCAGTATGTAGTTCCGCGTCAAAAATCCTATTTAGACTATGCAGTTTTGTTGTTAAGAGGTTCCATTGGACAATGCTTTGTTATTCACAAAGCAGACCTCCCTGGATGAAGATCACTTCTTGGTCTTAATGTTTATAACTTTTTAGAGAAGTTTATTGCATAAAATATGGATAAGGCACAGAATGATGAATTAATTAAACAGAAAGTATAACAACAATGTTGTTGTGGACTAAAAATTTCTGTGAGGATGGATTTTGCTTAGTATTCATTGGTTTTTCATACTTACGGTTTCCCAACCTTGTCAGTTGAGTGAGAGACATGAGTAGGGAATGTTTTCAAGAGCTGTTAATCTAAGTATACAATCAACGCTAAAGATGAGCTGATGCTGATCACACAGCTGATGTGTTCAAAGTATAATGAATTGTATATTTTAAACATCATATACCACATACACACAAAGTCGTTGGATTTGTCTTAGTTGCGAGAATTGTATGCTTCAACTCTATTAAAGCTATGGTAGTAAAAAACCGGACATACCTTATTTTCCATTTCAAAATAAAAAAAAGCGTCCAGGTCTATCAAGGATTTCTTTTGTCATGGGATCCAATCGTTCTGTAACAAGGACGCCAGCATATTGAGCTAAAACAATGCCATTGTGTACGTTGTGTCTGGCAAATTCGGCTGCAGCCTTAATCTGTAAAAAAGTCATAAATGATTTTGAGGTAAACGTGATGCCAAGTGAAACTGTAGGATAATAGTCCAGGAAAATTAGACCAAAAATAGATCGTGCTTCCCGGAAAATCGTCTAAAACTAGAAAGTATTTAATATCTTTTGGGGGTCCAAAATAAGAGTTGAGTTTGCAAAAGATTTTGACGTGTGATTACGTTTTGGGAGTAGAAAAACTGCGAACGTTTTGCACTTATTTGAGGTTTTTCGCTTATTAACCTCAAATGCCACATTTCATGGTCATTTTATTAGTCAGTTCTTCAAGCGCAATAAATTATGTGTGACTGATATAAAATATGTCAAAGTTTGCTGAGCAGTTTAGTCGCAGTAGTTTATCTAAGATGTGTTACTTTAACTAGCATTACCAAAATGTTATACTTTTTTACAGTTTTTGTCTTACGATTCCTTATAAAATAATATTATATATTGATGGGTATCTTTGGGGTATAGTGCTCAAACAGTAATCTAGAGGTCGCCGGTTTGTTCCTGAGAAAAAATGTGTTGCTTTTTGATGGTTCGAAACTGGAACCAGCTGTACTTGATCATTGGGCTTTCAATAAAATGGTCGTGACTTATGATACAGCTGATCTTGGTCAGTAACAAAGCTACACAAGGCATCTCACTCCATTCTACAGTCATCCTTCACTCGTCATTTGGGTTAAAATACGCACTTAGGAGGCGGTACCATCTTAAATGGCAATGGTGATAATAATAAAGTAAACGATGACAGACAATAGTTCTAGACGATTTTTTGGGATGCATTATTATGTCTAATTTGCCTAAGCTGTAAAAGCCGTGTTTTTCCCCCTTTTTTTCCTTATGTTGCAATTTTCAACATAGTCAAAGCTATTTATACGATGAGTTTTACCAAACGAAAGTAGCTATAACAATTATTAAGTATCATCGTATGAAAGATTTGGTAAACCTAGGACTAATAATATTGCTTATTAAAAACTATAAAACTACTCATTAAAATTGTTTTAAATGTATACGAGTTGTCGGCCCGTCCTACGTACGGGAATGGAGTTGTCAATTAAAACTATATAGGCTATATAATTCAAGCACAGTTTAAGCAGTTCAAAATCTATTGTAAAGAAAAAGCTGCCAAGATGAATTAACACATGTGATCATTGTTATTTCCCAACCTTACCTCGAAAATTTGAGTGGCAATAGTTATTTGTGTAACTATTGGGGAAAGTGGCACTTTGCTGCACACGAGAGCAATGTTTACGCAGAAGCCGCAGGCGAGTGCGGAATGATCTCGAGTGCAGCAAAGGCCTTTTGCACTCGTGTTACACATTATATTTTTCCTACGGTCACTATAAAGCATAAAAATAATTAGTCTTTCAAACACTATGAAACACGTTTTCAGGTTCAGCTGGCAACACAAATAGATGCCCTAGAGAAAGTAGTACCCGGTCCGTATCACTCCGCTTTTTTCCTGGGCAAGAAATTTGCTCCGCGACTTGAGAGTATAGTTCAGTATTTGTTTGTAATTTGAAGTGGTTTCCGCGCCTATAAAAATGCATTAAAAGTATTTTCTTGATTATTAAATTTCTTAGGAATGTTTTAAAACGTTTAAGAGAAAAGTCCAGAAAGTTCAGAAATACCGAAAGTATAAACACGAAATGACAGGTTAAATCGTAGTTATGATAGTCAATCAGCTGCTCATAGTATTATTATCTTTAAGTGTTGCCAACCTATTTCCAAGCGTACACGGATTACGTGCATAATTGAACCACGCTGTTTTGTGTTGTTTCGTTGGAATCCTGATGTGCGCCAAAGTATAAACCATATGACAAAGTATAAACCGTACGACAAAGTATAAATATGCAGCAATTAGCAGCTTTATGTACTCTAAACAGTACAAGGAAGCCCACATTTTGACGGGTGACTGTAGGAAAAATATATTTTCATAAACTTTCTTTTGAAAGATCGTGAGCTTCGATTCGTATACAGCAATGGTTATAGAATCTTACTTATTTCCTATAATCAATGACAAAATCACAGAGTAAATAAAATCACCTCATAGTTCTATAGAATATAGAATATTTTTATATTCAACCAGCTGTTAGTTATAAAAAATTATATTGAACTAAAACAAACTAATGATTTTAAAGACTGCTCAAAAAAATAAATGAGATGATCTAGTATTTTACTATGTACATTTAAATAATCTGTCATCCTCTTACCGAATAAATGAAGGTATAAATGATTATAGCTTTACACATAGTATAAATAAGTCAAAACTACGTATGCAATTTCATTTTATCCAAATACTGATTTTGTGTTGCGAACGCTGAATGCTTACAGCTGTTACGTAAAGCAAATGATATTATAGCAAAAGCTAGTCTAGAATGTCTACGTCAGCTGTTAGAGTAAAAAAAAAATAAAACTTAATTTCTTAAAAACTTATACCCTAAACTAAAATTATGGCTTCGACATTCCCTAGTTCTAAAAATTATCTTTTTTCAACACAAAAAATCGTGAAAATCCGTCAAGTAATTGATTCAGAATCGTGAAATATAAAAAAAAACTTGTCACGTTTTAATATATATAAAATGATGATGATGATAGTAATAAATGCGTCTGTTTGTCCGTTGCATGATAACGAGTGATTTTTGGTCAGATTTTAAGAAATTTAGCACGAATGTGTAGGGTGGCAGTTTTAACGTGGGTGAGTTTGCACGGATCACAAACAAGGGGTTATGGGGTTTGAAAATTTTAAATGTTTTTAATTGTTTACCCTTAAGACATAAAAGTGCCTATTTTAACTACAACCATCTTGTGGAGATAGAAAACTAACCATTTTTCATACTATAGCATTATTGTACTAATGAAGGCTATGGAGGAAAAAAAGTTTTGTCTAGAAGTCTCATGTAATCTATTCTCAAAAAGAATAATTTATTTTTGTAAAAAAACTACTTAAAATGCAAAAAAAGAAAAATGAAAATAAACGGTATCAGCATTTTGACACATACTTTCTCCCATAAGTTTGTCAACAACCTTTATCATGTGTAAGCGGTGAGAGTAAATATACGGAAATGGGATTTTTACAACTTTATTCAAAATTTAAATGGCTACAACATACAAAATTTTTATCAAAATCGTTCGGGCCATTTTTGTTTAAATCCGATTTTTCCGGTTTTTAGGGTTTTTATGGGAAAATCCCCATTAAAAATCAAAATTTCAAAAAATGAAAAAATACCTGTAGATACCATGGATTAGAACCTACAAACCAAATTTCATCGAAATCGGACCATAGGTGTAGTCCCTAGCTCTGTACACATCCACACACACACACACACACACACACACACACCCACACAGACATCACTTCGAAAACCACTTTTTTGGGTCCAGGGGGACCCAAAACTAATACATCCACTCAAAACTCAAACTCGAAAATGTTGACGAAAACAATACTTTCTCCAACACAACAACAATGGTATAAGGGCAGAAAGTAAAAATATAATTAAATGTAAACTTTTTTCATAATTAACCTCGCGAATTTCAAGTTGGCTACACAACATACTGAACATATAAAGAGGATGTCCACATTGCAGGAGATTAACTATCAATAAAGGTGTCAATCATTATGTTTTCCAGAGTTATGCGTTGGGTGTTATTTTATCATTGTAACCTATCATCGGCACATACCTTCAAAAAGTTATTTTTTACACGATAATAAATTATAATCTTATGATGGTATTAACAAATATCTTTTAAAAATGATGCATTTAAATGTTTTTTAATTTAGAAATAGTTATTTGTGTAACTAGTGGTGAAAGTGGCACTTTGCTGCACACGAGAGCAATGTTTACGCACGAGCCGAATGATCTCGAGTGCAGCAAAGGCCTTTTTCACTCGTGTTACACATTATATTTTTCCTACAGTCACTATAAATCATATAAATAATTAGTCTTTCAAACACTATACAATACGTTTTTAGGTTCAGCTGGCAACACAAATGGTGCCCTAGAGAAAGTAGTACCCGCGATCCGTATCACTCCGCTATTTTTCCTCGGCAAGAAATGTGCTCCACGTTTTGAGAATATAGTTCCGTATGTTTTTGTAATTTGAAGTGGTTTCCGTGCCTAAAAAATTCTTTAAAGGTATTTTCTTGTTTATTAAGATCGTAAGAATGTTTTAAAAACGTTTAAAAGAAAATTCCATAAAGTTCAGAAATACCGAAATTATAAACACGAAACGACAGGTTAAATCGTAGTTATAATAGTCAATCAGCTGCTCATAGTATTATTATCTTTAAGTGTTGCCAAGCTATTTCCAAGCGTACTCGGATTACGTGCATAATAGAACCACGCTGTTGTGTGTTGTTTCGTTGGAATCCTGATGTGCGGCAAATTATAAACTGTACGACAAAGTATAAACCGTACGGCAAAGTATAAATATGCAGCAATTAGCAGCTTTCTGTACTATAAACAGTACAAGGAAGCCAACTTTGTCGGGCGACTGTAAGAAAAAGAACTTTTTAATACTAAATCAGCTTCTCTTGCCTATCACAATATCAAAATATTTTTTCATATTCAAATAGAAAGTTTGTGTGTGTTAGTTTTATTATGCATTCATTCAGAAGTAAACATTAAATACAAGTAAATACTTCCTTTGATATCCAACAAAACGGTTCATATGTTTTTTTTTTGCGAATTTCCCATATAGGGAATAAGCTATTATCGTAGTACTCATGGTAAGACCTGGACCCGGGACCGATTTTTTTTTCGTTTTGAGGTCCCTAGAGGCCAAAAAACCATCCGTTCAAATTTATATATATATATATATATATATATATATATATATATATACATTTTTATTTATTTATATATATATATGTGTCCGTTAGCGCGTTAACTCGAGCAAAAATGATCCGATTTTGATGAAATTTGGTACAAACGTGTAAACCTACGTTTATTCGAACGAGTTCGCGAACCAGCATGATCGGACCATGG